GTGGGAGTTGCGTGCTTTTGGGGGTGCCCAAGGTGCATATGAGGGTGCAGGGTTTAGGCGCATATGAGGGGTTGCTCTCGAATGCTGTACGACTTTGTTCAGCAGAAACCCTTTCTGAAAGATTCCTCCTCGGGGGAGCTTAGTAGCTGAATGAGTACATTTTAGACGTTTTGGGATACTATTATCCCCCTATAGAACTGAAAGTGTGCACTTACGAACCTAGCAACTCAGTGAGAGCCCCTCCCCCTCTTCTACAGCGAGGCTTCTCCTTGCGAAGCAGAAGAGGGCCGCCAAAAAGATCCAGGCGCACTGGCGCTGGAAGAGGCGCGGGGGTAGGAGGGCTAAACCCTACACCCTAAGCCCTAAAACCCTCAACCCCAAACCCTAAATCCTAGCCCCCAAACCCTAAACCCTAAACCCTAAACCCTAAACCCTAAACCCCAAACCCCCTAAACCCTAAACCCTAAACGGCGTTGAATTTCGAACCCAGGAGGAGTGGTTGCCTGAAACCAGATCCCCGAGCCGAACAGGGCTCAACTTGATGTACTGGGCCTGGCCCTCGACACTTCAACCCTTGAGCCCCCCAAAACCCCGAATCCCAGGCCCGCCTGAAAACCTTATACCGCACCCTAAACCCGAAACCCAAAACCCAAAACCCCTAAATGTCCCCACCCTCAAAGACAAAACTACAGACCAAGTCTGCGAGTATCATGAGTTTCCCTCCTACCCCCCCTACCACCCCCCCCCCCCCCCAGAGGTTCCCCCCTTAAAATAACCTTAACTAGGCTTAATGATCCCTAAATCGCCTTACTGTAATTGTGGGGGGAATGCAAGGGGGGGCGGGGTAGTTTTGAGGGGGGTGGTAGGGGAACCCATAAGAACTTTTTCCTTTGACTACACCTGTCCGGGGACCAGCCTAACACAAGCCAAGGTTTCATCGGCCGCTTTTTTTGTTGGTGATACCTGAGTTTAGGGTTTAAGCTATGACTGTAAGGAATAGACCATCAGGGTTGTGGCTTGTAGGGTTTTGAAGTTAATGCTGGCAGGTTGTGGATGGCGTACTTGCGCTTCCGGAAGCAAGGCAGGAATCTTCGCTTTGTTTGAGCGATGCCCTGAACCCTAAAACCTGAACCGGTTTAGGGTTTAGGGTTTAGGGTTTAGGGTTTAGGGTTTAGGGTTTAGGGTTTAGGGTTTAGGGTTTAGGGTTTAGGGTTTAGGGTTTAGGCTGCATGACGAAACTTTGACCGAATGTCATCATGGCTCCGGGTTGTGTAGGGTCTAGTTCGAGTTGGGTGTTTAGGGTCTCCGGTTTGGTGTGTGTGTGTTTTAGTGTATTTATGGTAACCCTAAAACCCTAACCCTAAACCCTACACCCTACACCCTAAACCCTAAACCCTAAACCCCAAGCCCTGAACCCTAAACCCTAAACCCTAAACCCTATGTTCTGCGTGAGGTCGTGCCGCCCTCCGCCTTCAAGCTGTGGCGCGGGGGTTTTTGGCCCGCCGCAGGCTCCAGGGCTTGCAGCCTTAGGGCTTTTTCGGGCCTTCGGGGCTTGAAGGGCTTTAGGGTTTAGGGTTTAGGGTTTAGGGTTTAGGGTTTAGGATTTAGGGGCTTTAGGGTCTTGGAGCTTTAAGGGCTTTAAGGGCTTTAAGGGCTTGAAGGGCTTGAATGGCTTGAAGGGCTTGAAGGGCATTAGGGTCGACGGTCTTGGAGCTTTAAGGGCTTTAAGGGCTTCAGGTTTTTGGCTTTTTTGAGGAGGGCAGGGGTGCACCGAGGCGCTAACAAAACCAAAACCTGCATTGGTCAAGGGACTAAGGCTCGCGCCCCTGAGGTTGTAAAGGTTTCCGTTATTTCCGCTTGCATACTCCTAATACAGCCAGTTTTTACCATGGGGATCTTCGAAAAGGTTCCCCAAACAAAAGGGTGCCACCTTTGGGGTCCAAGGTTTGACCCCTGACTAGGGGAACTACAGGGGAAGCTTTGGGGGTTTAGGGTTTAGGGTGTAGGGGTGCCACCCTAGGGATTTAGGGGTTTAGGGTTTAGGGCTTAGGGCTTAGAGTTTAGGGTTTAGGGTTTAGGGTTTAGGACCCAATCGTTTGGACAGAGTCCAAGACGCCCCGTCGCAGTGGCAAGCTTTGCTTGCCTTTGGCTTGGGCCTGGTGAGCAAGCACTCAAGCGAGCTGCCTTCTCCGTGTAGGTTTCACTCCTCAGGTTTAGTGTTTAGGGTTTAGGGTTTAGGGTTTAGGGTTTAGGGTTTAGGGCGCGCCTGCGCAGATGAAACGCGACGGTAGGTTTCAAGCCCCCAACCCTAAACCCTAAACCCTCAACCCTGAACCCTAAGCCCTAAACCCTGAACCCTGAGCCCCAACCACCTTGTTGCAAGGGTCTGGATGACAACAGGGAGCAGGTGTTGAGAGAAACCCGCGAACGAGCTTCTGGCACCCGAAGAGTACCCTGCCCCCCCCCCCCCCCCCCCCCCCCAGTTGAGGAATAGAACGCCACACTACCATTCGGAACCCTATACTCTATACTACGACATACTCCTCACGGACCCTAAACCCTAAACCCTAAACCCTGAACCCTGAACCCTGAACCCTAAACCCTAAACCCTAAACCCTAAGAAAAGGAGTGCCAGGGCTCTGCCCTGGCATCCCTTTTGTCAGCCGCTGGGCAGGTTCCAGAAGGTCGTCAAGGTCCGGGCAAAGGCGCGCATCCTACCATCCGAAGCCCTAGGGCTAGGGTTTAGGGATTAGGGGTTTAGGGGTTTAGGGGTTTAGGGTCTAAATGGGAGTTTACGAAAATAAGGGACCCCCCAATTTTGACCCCCCAACTAGTAATTCCCTTTTCATAAGGATTCCATTATTAAGGTACCCCGAATATCGGAGAAAATGCACTCACATGGTCAGTTTTTTAAATTATGGTCCCTTCTTAAGTAAGAGGGGCCGCCTTAATGAGGGCCCCCCAAAGTGGACCATCTTTTTGAGAAGTAACCAAATACTACACCCTGAATGCTAACCCCTAAACTTTTTGTAGGCTCAAATCCTAAACCCGTCTTAGCAGGTCGAGGACATTTGTCACATTTGTGGGGCATAGCAGAACTCCTGGTCCCTTTGTTTGGGAGGTTTGATCTGAGTTATGGGCACCTGATGTAAAAGAGGAGTTTGCCAGATTGTTTCGCCTAAAGGGTGCATGATTTTAGGGCCCTTTGCCCGGTTTGGAAGAACATGCGTGCCCTTACGGGACACGCAGAAAAATCTGTATTATTAATATACGCATAGACGATACATAGCATCTACTGTATATAGAACAGGCATGCAAGGACAACAATTGAAACACTTAATTTGGGGAACCATACTTCGATCTACTCCCTAGAAGAGGGCTCGTCCTACGAGCCCTACATCCCTACCTGGGCTGGATACATTAGTTCCTTTTTCCGGTTGCCTAAATTCAAAACTTCTAAGCACACTTAGGCCGGTCATTGACTCGAATTTGATACCCAAGAACTACCATACCCTAAGCCCCTAAAACCCAAACCCTTAAAACCCTAGGCCCCTAATTTCCAAGCCCAGAATCCCACACTAGCAGCCTTAAAGCTCCTCCGGAAGCCAGCCAGTTCCGCCTCATCGTCCGTGTCGCGCTGCTGGTGGACCGCTTCTGCCGCCAGCTGAAGGGGAAGAGGCGACCTGCACGTTGTATCCTTACTTGGAGGTTCGTGCTTATAAGTAGGGTTGTAAGTAGCGGGGTAAGCTATGGTTAGAACCGTATGTAGGGCACTTCGTACCCTACCCATATGATCCTTCAAGTAAGGGGGTGGAGTCCGAGGCGGAGAGGTGCTTGGGAGAGCACTTGGAGATTCAGATAGCTGTAGTTATAGCTGTTTGCAACCTCATCTTGGGGTACAGGGGTAAGCATTTTTTAAACCTTATTTGGGGCACTGACAACCCTGCTTCTGAATACCCATGTTTGAGACCCTGAGGAGGGCGGTTGTGGGGGATTCATGCCGCCCGAGCGCTCCCTTCAGTGCCTTGCAGGCACGAGAGGAAGGAGAAGGAGCTCACAGCAGCCCCTGCACGGCATGGCTCGGGATTTACAGGGCTTTGTGGGACTTACAGGTTTTGGGTTTAGGGTTTAGGGTTTAGGGTTTAGGGTTTATGTGTTTCTGGGGGGTGGTAGAGTGCCCCTAAGCTCTTTGGCTTCCCCCGAAGACTCGAAGAGTGGAATCATAGGCCCCCGTCCATGGGTCATAAGACTTTTTGCTGGTTAGCTACCTCAACCCCTATTAGGAGGCATGCCTTTCACCGTCAGGTGTCAGACCTACTTAGGGCATATTGGGTGGGTGGGGAGGGGGGGGGGGTGTGGGGGGTTGGGGCCGCCAAAAACCTTGAACCCTGAGCCCCTAACCCTAAACCCCAAACCCTAGACCTTTAACCCTAAACCCTAAACCCCACACCCTAAACCCCAAACCCTAAACCCTAAACCGAGGTGCAACTCCTGCAGAAGCGCTGGCGCCGGAAGAGGCTTCCTGGGATGTAGGGAGCGGAGGAGGGAACCGGCCTCCTGCATCCTCTCTGCTGGCTTTCTAGAGGGGAGGAGGTTTGGCGTTTGGGGGTTAGGGTTTCGGGTTTATTAGGGTTTTGGGTTTTAGGGTTTAGGCACCGCGCGCCCTAAATCCTGAACCTTGCGGTTTGGCCAAACCCTAAAAAACCGTTCTTCGCCATGAAGCAGGAACACAAAGCAACACCAATCCTGAGTTTCTACCCTCAAACATGAAGCCGCGAAAAAACCCTGTCCAAAGCTTCAGAACTCCCGAGCCTCGAGCTGCCGCGAAGAAATCCCTGCAACCCGTGCAAGCCTCAATCCTAAACCCTGAACCCTTGCCTCAACCCTAAATCCTAAACCCTAAACCCTTGCAACCCTAAACCCTAAATTTAAACCCTAAACCCCAAACCCTAAACCCCCCCAAGCACAGCGGAAGGCTCTGGCTCATCTGCCAGCGGGCCATGCAGTCGAGGGAGACGCCGAAGGTCGAGAGCACCCAGGAACCTGAGGTGGGACCGGCTTGTTTGTTTTTTTTGTTTTTTTTTTTTTTTTCTGGGGGGGGGGGGGGGGTAGGGTTTAGGGTTTAGGGTTTAGGGGTTTAGGGTTTTAGGGGTTTAGGGGTTTAGGGGTTTAGGGTTTTAGGGGTTTAGGGGTTTAGGGGTTTAGGGGTTTAGGGGTTAGGGTTTAAGCGTAAGGTCGAGGGTTGAGTGAATGGCGAGTCTTAGCTTGCGAGGCCGTACCATGGGGGTGACCCACTGTCCTTGGCAATAAGCTAGAGACTGGGCTTCCTAAGACCCCGAAAAAAAAGGAATATACCTTATAATTGGAACCCAAATATGATTTACTGCGAATACTCAGTGACAATCTCAGCGTGAGCGAAGATGTGAAGTGTGTGTAGCAAGGTAGCTTAAATGCCCACGCAATCACGCTTCTCAAAATGCCCTCCGGTATTTCGAGACATCGACAGAAAAGAGGTAGAACGAGCTGAGTCCAAAGCTCAAACCCTGAAGCATCTATATTTGGCTTGACGGGACAAGTCGGGTACCTGTTTCCTTTTCCAGTTCTCACAGGCACCGCTATGACGCTACACATCTCCTGCAATCGACATCGGGTAATTCGTGAAAAGTGTGGTCGTGGTATTGGGGGGGCAAGCCTGTTGCTGTCAGTGTTTTGTCTTTCGTCCGGGCTGCAAACCCTATCTTGGGATGTTCCCCGGTATAGTAACAGGCCTTGCGATTATAATAAGGGGTACTATAATCCCCTTTAAGGAGCTGTTAGTATAAAGGGGAACATCCCAACCTAAATCCCAATCCCTGAAAGACCCCAACTACCTTGGAGGTTCTGGCCTTAGGCGCGTGCGGACTCTTTCGGGACCCTTTAGTATTCAGGGTTTAGGGTTGGGTTTAGGGCTTGGGGTTTAGGGCTTGGGGTTTAGGGCTTGGGGTTTAGGGCTTGGGGTTTAGGGCTTATAAGGGCATAGAGAGCCCTTTTAAGGAATCCGGGTGCTGCATGTGTTCGCAGCTTTCGGTACCGCCTCGATGAGCTTGGATCGGACAATGTACAGAACGATGAAGCTCCAATCGGTTTCGCCCAAACCCTAAACCCTAAACCCTAAACCCTAAACCCTAAACCCTAAACCCTAAACCCTAAACCCTAAACCCTAAACCCTCGTTTGCATTCATTGGTTACTGGAGAAGTAAGAAGGGGGCATCGGACCTGCACCAGGAGGCTGCGAGGCCTGCACCGGCAACGGCTGAGGATCCTTGTTCGACATTGAGTTTTTTGGGTTTAGGGTTTAGGGTTTAGGGTTTAGGGTGATTTTGGGGTTATGGAGGGTATAAAGTATTTAGCTTGTTTTTGGGGCTGAGGTTTTGGAGGTTATTGGTTTCGGGTTTGGGGTGTCTAGGTTTGGGCTTCGGATCAGGGAGGATTCGGTCGTGCATTTGCCCATATCGTCTTTGCCTGGCTACAAAGCCTCAGAGCCCCCAAAACACCTAAGCCTCGAAACCTTAAAGATCAAACTCCTAAGCCCTAAACCCTCAACCCCAAGCCACCTAAACCCTAAACCCTAAACCCTAAACCCTAAACCCTAAACGCTAAACCCTAAACCCTAAACCCTAAACCCTAAACCCTATGAGGGCTAGTTGTGCAGGCACCTGTCGTTGTAACGGTTGGATCTCCTGGGCCCCTAACCTCTATCTAGGCTAAGGGCGGTTTAGGGTTTAGGACTTCGGGTTTGGAGTTTAGGGTTTAGGGTTTCGGGTTTAGGGTAAACTTAAACTCCATCTAGGCGACACGCATGGAACTACAGCGGTGCCTGCGAAGCGAGGCCGCCACGCCTGCACCGGCGCCGGCTGAGGATCCGATTTTTCTGTTGACTTTTTGGAGATTCAGGGTTTAGGGTTTAGGGTTTAGGGTTTAGGGTTTGGGGAGTTTGTGTTAATTACCTTAACCTACCTAACAAAACAGCCTAACATGCCCGATTTACCCTCATGACCCTAAGCCTGCATACTCGTTTTTTCTTGAGGATGGACGCGTGAGGGTATAGTCAACCCAAACCCTAAACCCTAAACCCTAAACCCTAAACCCTAAACCCTAAACTCTATACCCTAAACCCTAAACCCTAAAACCCTAAACTTTAAACCCTAAACCCTAAACCCAAAGCCTGGCTGGTTCAACTCAGCAGGAGCTTGTGGATGCCGGGGCCACCACTACGGCGGCAGGTGGGATGGTTTTTACTGTTCAGGTTTTGGGGTTTAGGTATTAGGGTTTGGGGTTTCGGTATTAGGGTTTGGGGTTTAGGGTTTAGGGTTTGGGGTTTAGAGGGTTCATGAAGCCTTGGGGAACTCTAAATCCACCATAGTGGTCATATCGAATATTAAGGGGATAGGGTGTGTGTGTGTGTGTGTGTGTGTGTGTGTGTGTGTGTGTGTGTTTGACTGGTGGAGGTTTATGGTTCACGTGGAGGTGCAGTGAGCTTCGCGAGCAGGCTAGAAGTAGGGATGAAAGTGCGCATACTCTCTGAGGGTAGTTTCATGGGCCCTGTAGATGGTCCCTCGCCTCCCTGAACCCTAAACCCTAAACCCTAAACCCTAAACCCTAAACCCTAAACCCTAAACCCTAAATGGGCCCTTATCTTGTATAGGGTATGTAAGTGGTATATAGGGGGTACCCTTCTAAAGGCCCATACTAGGGGACCATGTAACTACCCTTAGAGACTCGAGCTATCCTCGCTGTAAGATCTCCCAAGTTCCCTGGCCCTTTTCAGTTTGCCCTAGCCCTCAACCCTAAACGCGTGTGTCACAGGGTCACGACGTTCATGATTCTGGGGCCCTAAACCCTAAACCCCAAACCCTAAACCCTATTGGGCTGAGAGGGTTTAGGCCTTGGGCTTTGGGCTTTCAGGGAGCCCAGATTGTGCAGTCCAGGTGCCACTGCATCAGCACCTTCCCTGGCCTTTGCGGCCCATCTCGCCAGCAGCTTCGTCCGAATATCCGAGGAGACCTGGGTTTAGGGTTTAGGGTTTAGGGTTTAGGGGTTGTGGGGGCACTGCCTTTCTGCCATCGCACCACCTCATAAACCGGTTCCACTCGGAACCCCCAAAGCACTTTCAAAATGCGCCTGACAAATGGGGTTTACGAAAATACGGGACCCTCTATATAGTAGGATTCCTTCATAACAAGGACCCCAAGAAGGTTCCCCGAGTTTCGGAAACCCCCAAATAGCCTGAAGGCCCAGACTAATGGGTACATTGGCCAAGGGTAATCCCGACTGGAGGGGCCCGATAGGTATGCTTGCAATACTGTGTGCTGGCTGGGTTTTGCATGACCCTGGTTCGAAGTACCCATGGCCTTGCAAAGTACAGGGTTAGGTTCCTATCAGAAGCCGAATCCTCTAGTGGGGACTCCAGGACGGTCAAACGGCGGAGCACATGGATCCAAATGGTCCGGCGCTACAGGGCGTTCCATGGCTGAGATCAGACTTGCCCCACTCCCAAAATGCCGAAACCCGAGCTCCGAAACCCAATGCAAGTATCCCTAAATCCTGACTCTAAACCCTAACCCCTAAACCCTAATCCCTAAACCTAGGTCCAGGTCCAGGTGAAGTGGGGTTTAGGGTGTAGGGGGAAAGGCCGGTACTTGTTGGAACCTCAGAGGGTTCTGTTTAGGGGTTGCGGGCAGTTGCTTGGGTTCTGCGTTGATATGGCCAGAGAATGCTCCCAGTCTCCCCTGCATGCTGAGGTGCCAACTGTAGACATGGACAATCTTATATACACACATGCCGTATCGTTATCCTTAGCTTTGCCGTAATTATTATCGTCATCGTTGTCTATCCATCCATCTAACTACCTATCTATCTCTCTATCTGTAGGGAGGTTTACGAAAATAAGGGGCCCTTCATATCATCCCCAAATAGTAGTATTCCCCTAGACTGAGGACCCCTAATAAGGCACCATAATATCGGAAACCCCCCATATGCACACATGTACTCTTCCTTGTCGATGGTCGTTCTTGCCTTGGCCTCATCACATCAGAACCTCCTGAACCCGGCAATCTGCCGCTTCTGCTCCTGCTATGTTTTCTTTTCGGCCCCTTAGGGTGGGAGCTAAACCCTAAACGCTAAACCCTAAGCCCTAAGCCCAAAGGCCTAAGCCCTAAAGACTTGTCTGGGGTTTAGTCTCTCGTGAGCTTCTTATGGAGTTTACAGGTTTTTCCGTAGGCGTTTACGGGAGAAGCCCACAGTGCCCTAAACCCTAAACCCGAAACCCTAAACCCTAAACCCTAAACCCCAAACCCCAAACCCCAAACCCTATATAAGCCCTGTACCTTGAAGCCCCAGGTTCTGTTTGGATCGGGTCCCATTCCGACTTTTGCGGCGGGCGCGTGGTGTGACAGAAGCAGTTTGCAGGTACGTTTGGGCTTAAGGGTTTAGGCTTCAGGGTTCATGGGTTTGCGGGTTAGTTTGAGGCTCTTTGAGTTGTGATTTGTCGGCCCGCAAACGATGAGGAAAAAAAAACAGGCTGCCCCCAAAATGTCAATTCAAATTGTATAGCATTACGTACATCCCACCCCCCCACGAACTAAGTCCTAAATCCTAAATCCCAAACCCCAACCCCAAACCCTAGACCCCAAAGCCCAGCTCCCTGCACCCTGCACCCCCGAAACCTCAAATAAACCCTCCCAACCCTATAAACCCTAAACCCTTGAAATCCCTAAACCCTATACACCCCAACACCCTGCACACCCCAACACCCTAAAGCATGAGGTACTCTATCCTAAATTCTAAATCCCCCAACCCCAACCCCAATCCCTAAACCCCAAAGCCCGACACCCTAAAGCCTGAGACCCCAAAACCCTGCTATAAACCCTAAACCCTTCAAATCCCTCAGCCAGGTACACCCCCAAACACCTAAAGCCCTTAGTAGCCGAATGAGTACCCTTTACACTTTTTGGAATACTATACTCCCCTATAGCGTACACTTTGCAGGGGCTTATGAACTCAGCAACTAAGAGCCTGAGGTACTTCGAAGTGATGGTTCAAAAGGCAAACCTGAACGAAGAGGATGGCTTGACGCTGGGCGTGACGCCCGCGCTCCCCACAGCGATCACAGCGACTTTCCTCAGCTGTTGGTCGGGTTGAGGTTGGGATGTTCCCCCCCTTATACTATAGCAGCTCCTTAATTGGGATTCTAGTTCCCCCCCGATTATAATCCGAAGGTTGAGGGTTTAGGTTTATGTCGGGCTCTTTTGTTGGGGGTTTTTGGGGGATGGCTTGGGCGGCTCGCTAAGTCTGATAGAGTCTAACCTTGGGGACCAACTGAACCGTAAAAGGATTCAAGGCTCATATACCTTAACCGGAAGTACAGGTAGTATAGGGCAGATGACCCCAATTCTGAAGGTTCACTTGGTTTCGAAGGAAGTTGTTGGCCCGTGGGTTTCGTAGCGCCAAATGCGAATCTGGCTGGTACTTGGAGGTTCACGGGTACTTATAAGCAGGGTTTAGGGTTTCTGGTTACTTGGAGGTGCATGCGTACTTATAGAAGTACGGTTATAATAAGAAGGGTGGCTATGGCCTTATATAGGGCTACTTTAGAACCCTACTTCTAAGTACCCGTGGATCTTCAAGTAGCCCTAAACCCGGAACCCTAAACCATGCACCCTAAACCCTACTGAAAGGTACCCCGAAGTTTTAGGCTGTTGCATGACCTTGTTTTTTTATGAACCCTACAAGCCTAAAACCCAAAAGGCCCAAAGCCCTAAAGCCCTAAAGCCCGAAAACCCTGGAGCCCTGAAACACTAAAGCCCCACAACCCTGGAACCCTAAAGCCCCACTAATTTCCTAAAATTAAAGGCCTAAAACCCTAAAGCCCCAGAGCCCTAAAGCCCTAAAATCCCCGAAAACCCTAAAATCCCTAAAGCTCAGAAAACTCCTAAGATGGAACCCTAAAACCCTAAAGCCCGAACATTTCCTAAAATTTAAACCCTAGAAAACCTGAATCTCTGAACCCTAAACCCTAAACCCTAAACCCTAAACCCTAAACCCTAAACCCTAAACCCTAAACCCTAAACCCTAAACCAGCTCTGTATCAGCCCAAGGAGCCCTTCACAACGGCGGACGACGTTCCCAACTCCTACTGCTTCGGCTTCGACGGGACGCTCGCGGGCACACGTGATTTTGGGGTCGACCTACCTGAAGACCCCTCCCCCCAAAGAAGAAAAAGACACAAAACACGAAAACCTGCTGCTTTGTATGGTCTTGGTAGAGAACTTCCCTTTTTTGGGGGGGCTGTTAGGTGCCCTAAGCTCTAAACCCTAAACAGGGTAGGTTTTGGGGGTTTCATAAGATCACCGGCACCGCAGATTCCCCGTCTAAACGGCGTAATGCGCCCGAAGAGGGTTTAGAGTTTAGGGTTCAGAGTTTAGGGTTACCCCCCCACCCAACTACCTTCATTAGGGCTTCGGGTTTCGGGCTTTAGGGCTTAGGGATTGGGATCTTAGGGGTTTTGGGATTTTGGGTTTCGGGTTTAGGGTTTGGGGTTTGGCGTTTAGGGTTTGGGGTTTAAGTGGTTGCTTTCCCTCGAAGTGCCCCGACTTACTCAGGCCCTACGCTTTTTCGGTCTGTGGGACTCGTTTCGGACTGAGATCCTTAGGGCTTAGGGTTTAGGGTTTAAAGTTTATGGCCTACCGGACTCTCTTTACCTACAGTTTAATGGGTTATACATCTAATTAATTAGGGGTACTTCCTACTAAACTGTAGGTAAATAGAGTCCCACGAAGACCCTGTCAAAAATCAGGCTTTGGGTTCTTGAGGTAGGGCTTAGGAAAGTCTAGGGTCCTGCTGCCGCAAATCTTTTGCTTCCGAAGAAACGTTTTCAAGAAGCAACGGGACGGAGATGAGCGAAGTGCCACAAGCAGAGAGAGAGAGAGAGAGAGAGAGAGCGGTGAGAGAGAGAGAGGGGAGAGAGAGAGAGAGAGCGAGACAGTGTTAGTGAGGTTAGTGTCCACGTAATTTTTTGTTTTCGTAGACGGAAGCTTCGAAAGTTTGAGCTGCGAAAGGCAAGTTGAGATCCCGGAATCTCTATAGTAACTGCCTGTAGACTGTAGCCTAAAGCTTGCTACTTGTTTCATGAACTCTGAAACTGAGTTGGTTCTGGTGCGAGCGACGATGGCGCTTATGGCCCAGACCAACGGCGCTGGCAAGAATGCAAAGTTATGGATGGAGTCTCTCACAGCAAACGTTCCAAGTTGGGACCAGGTGAGCTTTGCCACATGTTTGGACAACTTTTGCCAAGAAGGGGCAAGAAGCAGGTCCACCGATTTCCAAGCAGGAGTGCGCGCGCTTGCAATCGATGGCAGTGACCGCTTCATGGACAAAGAAACACCCGTGAAACCCAAAACCTAAACCCTAAACCCTGAACCTACAACCCTAAACCCTAAACCCCATTGATTCGAGGATCGCAATTCTACCGGACACCGATGACCCCATCCAGACTGGCTGGAACCCCAAGGCAGAGGGTTTACCCTAAACCCTAAACCCTAAACCCTAAACCCCAAACCCTAAGCCGAAACCGGCTTGTAGAATTTGTGGGTATAATCCATTAAACTGTAGGTACAGAGAGTCCCAGGTAGCGCTTAGGGTTGAGGGTTGAAGGGGCCGAGGGCTTGGGGGCCTCGAGGGTTTTTGGGGTTTTTGGGCTTCTGTGTTTTCGGGGTTTTGGTGCTTGAAGTTTAGGGCCCATCGGGTTTAGTGTAGGGTGTTTGGCTTCTGGGGGTTTGGGCTCCCCACCCCCCTCCCCCACCCCTAAATCCTATTCCCCAAACCCTAGACGCTGAACCCTAAACCCTAAACCCTAAACCCCCAAACCCTAAACCCTAAACCCTAAACCCTAAACCCCCAAACCCTAAACCCTAAACCCCCAAACCCTAAACCCTAAACTTGCTTAAGCCCTGGGCCTTCCCAGTCCAGAAGACCCGAAACCCCAACCCCTAAATCCTCTTTGCACGCTGGACCCTCAAAACTCCATCTCCTCGGAGTTTTGGTCAGGCTTGTTTGGATTTTGTTTAGCAGCTGTTAAGGCTTTCAGGTGTGTCGTTTAGGGGTTCTTGCGGATTTTCAGGGTTTCTGGAGCGTGGTTTTCAGGGCTTCTTAAGCGCGTTTGTGTAAGGGTTTCTTAGGGCTTTTAGAGCTTTAAAGGGTTTTCAATTTAAGGCTTGTTAAGGGCCTAGGGTTTAAGAGCCTTCCACTCCAAGCTTGTAGGGTTTGTTTTTTGAGCGGCTCTAGGCCTCTAGGCCATAAGTGGGCGTTTGGGATTTGAGAACCTGGTCCGAGCCAGGACGTGCGCGTGGGAGACCGCGTGGGCTTGCTGGTCACCTCCGGAGGTTGGGTGCCATAAAACTCAGCTTAGGGTTTAGGGTTTAGGGTTTTGGGTTTTGGGTTTAGGTTTGAGGGTTTAGGGTTTAGGGTTTAGGGTTTAGGGTTTAGGGTTTAGGGTTTAGGGTTTAGGGTTTAGGGTTTAGGGTTTAGGGTTTAGGGTTTAGGGTTCCCATGTTTCTCAAAAAGCCCAGCCAGAGACGATGCTCTTGTGCCGTAGTTCCCTGTTTTGAGTCTAGCAACCGCTTGTTGCTTTGGTTGCCTGAGCTTCGAGTACGCCCGAAACGCTTCAGGGCTCCCATTTGTAGGCGCGAAGATTTCCCAACCCTACCTGGAGACTTCCCAAGTCGCAGTTAAGATGCCTTTCGACTCCTTGCCCGAAAATAGGTTTGTTCTGCTCTTCGGTCATGGTTTGTTAGTCCTTTTACAGGTCTAGGTAGGGCTTTGAGGAGTTTAGGGTCCAGGCGACCTTTATCGCCTTAGTACGAGGATTTGTCAACTAAACCGGAAAGGGCAACCCTTCTCTTGTCATACTGGGGAACAGAGCCGAGAACCCCTACAATAATAACATAGCCCTATACACTCCCCAAGCTCTACACAACCCTGGAAGCTTCTGAGTTCGAGCCTCTGCAGGTGAAGGACAGGTCTTCTGCAACGGCGCGCTGAAGGTGTCGGGCGTTATGGGCCTTCCAGTGGGGGTGCCGCTGTATCCCATCGTGGAGTCTTGGATTTTTCCGGGGCTTTGAGCTTCTAGGCTCCAGGTGGGACTGGGAGCTCTGTGTTGGGCCTTATTTGGCTTCAAAGAGAGGATGTCATATAGGAATTGTTCAGAGGGCTCAAAACTCCCAAGATGCAGCAGAAGCAGGGCATCTGTATTCCGGGTTTCGGGTTTAGGGTTTCAGGTTTAGGTTTCGTTAGGTTTGTCAACAGCAGCCAAGGATTTGCTCGGCAGCGCCGTGTCCGTCTCCTTGCTGCCCACCGCACAACCACCCCTACCAGATGCAGGTCATCCTGCACCACCCACGGCTACACAGAGCCTCCCAGCCTCCAGCCCTCCCACGGGCACAAGCAAGGCCGGGCCCCCTCACCCGATGCCGGGACCCATAGCCACACCTGCAGCCACACCTACACACGCACCTACACCCGCACCTACACCCGCACCCACACCCGCACCTGCACCTACACCTGCACCTGCACCTGCATCCACCCCCACACCTACACCGGCCCCCGCACCAGCAGTGCCCCCTGCCGCACCCACCGCTGCCATGCCCAAGACCGCGCCTGCCGCCGCCGTGCTCCCTGCCACCAGCCTCCCTGCCGTCACGCCTGCCTTGGCAGCAGCCGCCCTGCCAAAGGCCGCGGCGGTTGCCGAAGCCAAGGCGAAGTCGGAAACACCGCAGAGTAAGGAGGTAAATCTGGCAGCTGCCCAGCAAGGGCCCCGCTTCAGTTCGTTCCTGAAGGGGCAGATGGTGCCTCGGCGGGGAGAAAAGATTGTGGTCCAAACGCCTATGTTACGCGAGACGAAATTCATATGATATACTGTAGCATTACAATACTTCTATGCCTTATCTTTCAGAGCATCGCACCCCAGTCGCAATCAGCGAATACCCTGCGGACCCTGCTGGGCAATCCTGGACCCATAAGCCGTCGTATCAGGCCCGTCAGGTGAACTGCCAGGATTTGGGGTTTTCGGGTTGAGTTCTAGGAACTGGAGCAGGGGCCCTGATGAGGGACCCCATACATGGGGACTGTCTTTATCTTTTAGGAATGCTTGGGTCCGAGTTCCTTTCGGCAGTTCCTCAGCCGTGCGTGAAAGGTCTGCCTGTCTGAGGAGAACACGGTCGCCTCTAAGCACTCCGTGGATGCGGAGGCCTTCAAAACCCCTGAGCCGAAACAGCCCAAAACCTTATCAACCCCACAATAAGCCCGACAATCCCCCCTCCCCCACCCAAATACTAGAAAGCCTGTAAACCCTTAAAACCCCAAAGGCACTAAAAAAACTATAAGCCCCTGTAAACCCTGCAAACCCTGAACCTGAAGGCAAACAGCGCAGGGCTCTCTGCGTCTTGGCCCCGCATTGGGGCTCGCATAAGCTCGGTCTGAGCCCTATTTGAAGGTTCACGGCTCTAAGCCCAGATGACCCAAGTTCCCTTGCCAGTCATAACGAACCTTGAAGCCGAATTCTGCGAGCCTTGAAACTAAGCCCTAAACCCTGAGCCCCAACCCTGAACCCTAAACTCCAAACCCTAAACTCTGAGCCCTGAATCCTGAACCCTAAACCCTAAACCCTAAACCCTAAACCCTAAACCCTAAACCCTACACCCCCTTTACGCTAAACCCTGAACCCTGGGCCGTTGTGGAGGCCCTACATGGCGTGGTCTTCCTCGAGGGAAGGATGCCGGCCGTGCCTGGAGGCTTGCAAAGCCGGGTTTAGGGTTTAGGGCTAGGGTTTAGGGTTTAGGGTTTAGGGTTTAGGGTTTAGGGTTTAGGGTTTAGGGTTTAGGGTTTAGGGTTTAGGGTTTAGGGCTTAGGGTTTAGGGTTTGGTGGTTCAGGGCTTAGGGCATAGGGCTTAGGGCTTACGGGCTTAGGGGGTGATACAAAAGGCGTTCGAAGAGGAGCTTTCCCAATCTTCCAAGCCTAAGCCCGTAGGTTCTCGGCACCTTCTAGTTCCTTTTTTTGATAACCCTTGAATCCTAAACCCTGGACCCTAAACCCCCTGAACCCCTAAACCCCCTAAACCCCCTAAGCCCCCTAAGCACCTTAAACCCCCTAAACCCCCTAAACCCCCTAAACCCCCTAAACCCCCTAAACCCCCTAAACCCCCCAAACCCCCTAAACCCCCTAAACCCCCTAAACCCCCTAAACCCCCTAAACCCCCCTAAGCCCAAACCCGAAATCCTTGTAGGTAGCCTGGTGCCACATACACCCCCTATGTGTAACCCTTTAGAGATTTTACCGGGCCCTTTCCTTTAAGACTCCGTTTGGGTATGAAAGGAATTTGATGACATAAGGGTTTCGGATTTAGGGTTTAGGGTTTAGGGTTATATATATATATACACCTCTGTACAGACCTGCCAGGTATAAACTTCAGCATTTTTTATTGCGTGGAACTCAATCTGAGCTACTTCTAATGATCACTAGAGTTGTGTTGATTTGTCACGTACAAGCAATATTGGTTTCGAAAGCATTTAGTGTCGATCACCACATTTTTCCACGACATCTTTGGTTTTGTATTGTGTTCCTAAGTTGTGCGTACAAGTATGGTTAATATATTTGCCTTCAAGGAAGTAAGCCGCCTCCACAGTAGGTTACTCCCTACACCCTAGACCCAAAACCCTAAGCCGTAAACCCTAAGTCCTAAACCCCAACCCCAACCCTAAACCTTATACCCTAAGCCCTAATCCGAGACCCTAAACCCTTGCAGGATTCTACTTCGAGGTGCGCGTGGAGCAGACGCTGGCGACGGAGCTGGATGGAGCCTTTGCCGGTCGTGAGGTTACAGGGAACTAGGGGTTTAGGGTTTAGGGTTTAGGGTTTAGGTTTTTTTTTGCATTTACGCCTCTTTACCGCGTCAGCGGCCCAGTAGGCCGTTCAGGGAACTAGGGGTTCAGGATGGTTTAGGGTTAGGGGGTATAGGGAACTAGGGGTTTTGGATGGTTTATAAATAAGGTAATTATGGTTATTAATGTACACATTGCAATTAATTCTGCTTATAACCTTCTTCAGGGTACATTTCCGATACTTCTAAGTGCCCATGAACCTTCAAGTATCCTCCTCAGTCCCAGCTGCGGTCTGGAGCCCCCAAGGGCGTGTCGCGGTGTCCTGTGGGTTTAGGGTTTAGGGTTTAGGGTTTAGGGTTTAGGGTTTAGGGTTTAGGGTTTAGGGCTCCATGGAACTCCCTATACCTACAGCTTGATGCTAATTCAGGAGTAGTTGCTACTAATACAGGAGGTAAAGTCCCAGGTTTTTGTAGACTCTCCCTATAAGACCAAGCGCCTGCCTCAGGATTAGTCTTGGGCGTGTGCGGCCGGCGTCCGGCGAAGGTGCCAGATCCCTACCCCTCTACCCCGAACTACCGAAAAACCCTACAAACCCTAGACTCCTGAATGCCGAGGCCCTGGAGCCCGAAAGCCTTAAACCCTACACCCTAAGCCGCAGCCCTCATGGATGCTGTAAGAAACACGGTAGCCTGAGCCCTAAACCCATCAATCCTCACATCCCCATAAGCTGCTACAAGCCCTGTGCGTTGCTGAAGGACGGGTAGTATACGATCCCATCTCAGTTAAAGGTACTGGTTCTCAGTAGGGAATGAGGTACCTTATAATATGTATATATATATATATACATATACATATACATGCATATATACATATATATATATGGGCGGATATCAGTTGCCTAATTCCGTCATTCCTTATGAACAACCAGCAGGTAAAGGGAGAAAACACGTGTTGTGCGTTCGCTGAATGTTAGATTCATGCGTTCATTCATTGCGGCCGCACTCAGCGACTGAAGCGCCAGTACGCTCGAGTACGCCCGAGCCATTTTTTCATAATTACACGTCCAGCGTATGTTCGAAGGATGTTTGTGAGAAGCTGTGGAGGGCGAATTCCTCAAAGTCTGCAAGCCTTCTCAACCATAAAGCCCCGAGCAGTTCATGAGAAAATGCCAAACATATTGTCAGGTTCATAGTGCAGTTTAAGGCAAGGTAGTCCTTAAAATATACTTCAAGTTATGGTACTAGAGTTCTTAGCAATAGTTTTGGGAAATCGGCCCGATTGAAAGGCAATTTGGGCTCGGTCTCTTGCAAAACCAAAGGAGCTTTGCGGTTATTCAGGTTGAGTGTTGAGGGTTTGGGGGTTTAGGGTGGAACAAAGGCTTACAGGTTTTCATCGGAGCCCCGTAACTTTGCCTGAGCGTGGATATTTTTGTCGGCAGGTTGGCTATCACACCTGAGGGGCTTGGCAACGAGAGCGTGTAGGTTTCGGGGTTTTTTAGGGCAAGGCCTAGGGTTGTGGGTTTCGGGCCGCCTACTTGAACCGCAGGGTTTAGAATGTTGCTACAGTCCAGGGGTCGTAGCATGGTTCCTTAATGTGGCCTTTTAAAGGGTTCTGAAGTATGGGCCCCGGCGATCTACAGGGTAATTATACGAAGGGCATATAAGGGTTCCCCGATTTAAGGGCCCCATACTAAGGGACCATGTAGCTACCCTTATAGGTAAAGGGTTTACTTGGTTCATGGGTACTTATACCCCCAATTATGAGCCCAATTCTGAGTCTACCGATAATCTGCTTAGGAGGACTTGGGGGACTTAGGGGGCTTATAAGTACTGTTATAATTGGGGTTAGAAGTACCCTAAACCCTAAACCGGAAACCCTAAACCGGAAACCCTAAACCACAAAACCTGAACCTCCAAGTAGGGTTTTTCCGGCCTCAGGAGGACATGGCGGCCTTCGAGACCGCCGACGACGTACCCAACTCTTTGACACTGGGCGCCTGGGACGTGGAGAAATTTTCCGAAGTCTGAATCCTAAACCCCTCCAAGCCGCCCAACGTCCCCAGGCCCTGTGTACACCTGAGGGTTTAGGTTTTAGGGTTTAGGGTTTAGGGTTTGCTCTGTGTTTAGGGTTTAGGGTTTCGCGGGATCTTATCAGCACTTAGCGACTATCGGGAAGCTTTGCAATCAGCCCCTGAGAGGGCGAGGCTAGTGGCTCAGGTTGAGCTCTGTGGGAATGATCCCGTGGGGTTTAGGGTTTAGGGTTTAGGGTTTAGGGTTTAGGGTTTAGGGTTTAGGGTTTAGGGTTTAGGGTTTAGGGTTTAGGGTTTAGGTTTAGGTGCACACGCCAGCATTGGAGCTGGAGGGTTTAGATTAAGCGTCTACTCGGAAGGTTCGTTGGTGCTTATAAATATGGCTGCAAGTAGGGGTAGCTATGGCTATAAACTTTTGGGGTACTTGTAGCCCTACATATAAGTATACCCATGAACCTTCAAGTCGGGTGTGATTCCCAAACCCTGCCCGTTACCAACCGTTACCTGCCTGCGCCGAGGATACAACGGAGAAATGCGGCTACATGACGAGGACGAGAACGTGCCGATTGGATGGAATCCCAAGGACCTGTCGGGGATTGCGTCATCCCCAAAACCCTGTAAAGCCTGCACCCTAAACCCTGAAACCTAATCTTTTTGGTTTAGGCTTTAGGGTTTAGAGTTAAGGGAACCCTTTCTTCTGAAAGAAATACAGTGTACTCCCCGTAAACCCTGGACCCTAAACCCTGAACCCTAAACCCTAAACCCTAAACCCTAAACCCTAGGGGAACCATTAGAATTTCATGCAGCGCCCTCATCCTTCCAAGGGCGGCGCCAGAGGCATCGCGGGCCCCGAGCACTCAGCAAATGGCCCTCCAGCAGGGTTTAGGGTTTAGGGTTTAGGGTGTAGGGTTTAGGGTTTAGGGTGTAGGGTCTGAGATGAAGTTCCTTTTCCAAAGTTGACCCAAATATGTCAGAACCGTATGCCTTGGGGAGCCAATGAACCCAAAAATCGGGGTCACATACCCTTTGCGACTATAACTCCTATGTTGGTGTATGAACCCCAAACCCCAAACCCCAAACCCCAAACCCCAAACCCCAAACCCCAAACCCCAAACCCTAAACCCTAAACCCTACACCCTAAACCCTAAACCCTTTTCGGGTTCATGTGGTCCTTAAGGTGCACGCCCGAAACCCTATGTCGGGCGTGGTTCGTGTGGGGATGGAGGGGCTGGTTTTTGCCACCCAAGATGCTTGGCAACGCCCGTACAGTCAAAGCCCATTTGCTCACTATAGGAATATGCCCGAAACCCTGGAACCCTGAACCCAGAAGTTACTGGCAGCCTCAGGAATCTTGCGATTTAGGCGGAATCGGAGGGGCTAAGCCCCAAACCCCAAGCCCCCCTAAACCCACAACCCTACTAAGCCCTAAACCCTCAACCCTCAATCCTATACCTTAAACCCTTAACCCCCAAACTCTAAACCCTGAACCCTAAACCCTCAACCCTCAACCCTGAACCCTATCTTCCCCCCCCCCCCCGCTCCCAAAGAAAGCCTCAACTGTGGGAGGACTTGCAAGTCGGCGACGTGGTGGGCCTCTTTGTGGGCGAGGACGGAGAAGGCCCCCCGCTGCCCTCGGTCGCCACCTGAAAAGCTTTAGTTTAGGGTTTAGGGTAAAGGGTTTAGGGTTGCGTGCTAAAGAAGCCCCAAAACCTTGTTAAGGGTCTAGGGGTTGCCACAGCCCACGTGATCAGGATCCCAGAATCGCGGCATGTTATGCCATGATAGGGGTTTAGGGTTTAGGGTTTAGGGTTTAATTAGGGACAACCCAATAACCTACAGCCTGTATACGTATTTCCGAAAAGGCACTAAATCCCTAAACCTTACATTCAACCCCCAACCCGAAGAAGTATAGAAACCCTAAGGCCTAACTCCTTCACCCGAAACCCTAAACCCTCAAGGCTTTCCCTCCAACACGAGACCCTCAACCCTCCACCCAAAAGCCTAGAATCCTCAACCCTAACCCTAAACCCTAAACCCTAAACACTAAACCCGAAACCCTAAACCCTAAACCCTAAACCCTAAACCCTAAACCCTAAACCCTAAACCCTAAACCCTACAGTTCGGAAGCCCGAGCCGGAGGCGTGCTGTATCAGAACGGCGTGGAGAAGCTCTCCAACATTTCTGGCCTTCCCCCAAGCAAGACCCTGCACTTGGGCGGAATGTCCTTCGGAGATTTCTTTGGGAGGGCTTCATGTGCTTACCATAGTACGTTTCGGGTTTAGGTTTGGGGTGAGAGTTCGGCTAACTGATAAGTCTAAGTTAAAGAGGGGTTTTGCAAATTTTGGCTCGGTCTTGCAGGGGCTCGATGCCTCGTTGAAGGCTTCAGGGGTTGATTCAGGGGCTGAGGGTTTTTGTGGGTTTGGGGTTCCGGGGCTTTCCGATTTCGTATTCAGGGCTTTCGGGCTTCAGTGCAAGTGCATTCTTGGACCTAAGCCCTACATCCCTAACTGCACTGTTTTCAGGGCCTGAAATTGCCCCCCCCCCCCCCCCCCCCCCCCCCCCCCCCCGCCCCCCCCGCCCTCAGCTGGGGTGGCTATCCAAGACCCCCGAAATCTAGGCATGTAGGACGCCCCTTGAAACCCTGATTCCCCTGTACGGCTACAATCCCGTATATAAATCCCCATACAACCACTCAAAAAGTAGACGTTTGTATTTTAAGGGGAACCCTAAACCCCAACCCCCAAGAGACCTCTACTTATAAGTGCTCTAATGTGGTTATACCTACAGTTGTAAGTACAGTTATAAGTTCAGCTATAACTGGTTAATCAGTACCTGAACCTTCAAGAGACTCTAGGTACGCCTTCGTCGACCTCTTGGGCAACACCGCTGCCGTGCGGCTAATGCCGGGGAATCCCCCAGCGCGACCTGCGAGGTGGCGAGGGCTTCGTGCTTCATGGTTCAGGGTGTGTATAGTTATGTTATAAGAGTTTTTCCAGGTAACCAACAATCAACAACTAATTCGGTATTGATTCCTGAGAGTCGTTGCGGGAAACTTGCAGGGTTGTCTTATCATTGCACACGACCAAAACTACACAGCAAGACAAGGTTCAAGGTTCTGGCTTTAAAGTACAGGGTTTAGGGTTGTGTTATTTCGAGTGGATGGTTCGATTCCCGACCTCACACCTTCCAGCACCCGGGCCTTCTAAACCTTCAAGCCTCACAGGGGTTTAGGGTTTATAGGACTTATGGGGCTTTGTATAGGGCTTATCGGGCTTATAGGGTTTCTCGGGTTTATAGGCTATATAAGGTTTATGGGGTTTATAGGGCCCTAAACCCTAAACCCGAAACCCTAAACCCTAAACCCTAAACCCTAAACCCTAAAGGGAAATTCACCCTTGGGAGGCCGCCGAAGCCCCCGCTGATTGCCTACGACCTGGGCCAGGCCAGGTACATGGGACACACCGTGCTTAGGGTTTAGGGTTTAGGGTTCAGGGTTCAGGGTTCAGGGCTAGGGGCTTCAGGGTTTGGGAATTGGCGTTTGAGGGGTTTAGGGGTGGAGTTTGAGGTGTTGAGGGTTTGGGGTGTTTGGGGTTTAGGGGTTGGGGTTTGGAGGTTTAGGGGTTTCGGGTTTGAGGTTCAGGGTTTGGAGCTTAGGATATAGTGGTTTATGGTTCCGGGGTTACGCCAGTAGGCTTAGATCCCACGTCGAACCCAAAGCACAACCCCCGACCGTGGGGTGGTTTATGCTTAGGGTTTCGGTTTAGGCTTTAGGGTCCTGTTAGACGCAACTAAACCCTAAATTGAACCAAACCCTCGTTGAACCCTGATAAGGCTTTAAGTTGAACCATAATTAAATTGTGATTGAGCCCTAAACCCTATATGGGGGTTTCCAAAATTAGGGGTACCTTCTTGAGGTCCTTGTCATTAGGGAATCCTACTACTTGGGGATTTATTTTCGGTGTCCCCTATTTTCGTCAACCCCCGTTTCAGGACGAAACCCTGAACCCTGAACCCTGAAACCCTGAACCCTGAACCCTAAACCCTGAACCCTAAACCCTAAACCCTAAACCCTAAACCCTAAACCCTAAACCCTAAACCCTAAACCCTAAACCCTAAACCCTAAACCCTAAACCCTAAACCCTAAACCCTAAACCCTAAACCCTAAACCCTAAACCCTAAACCCTAGCCCTACAAAGCCCTAAAGAAGCCCTGGCCGTGAGGCTCTCTCTGCATTCGCTCTCTCGCCGAAGTCCCCGCACGTCACCCTCTCCGCTGCGCCCGAGCTGCACACCAGCCTGGCGATCCCAAGAAGGTTTATATAGGTTTAAGGTTTAGGGCTTAGGGCTTGGGGCTTAGGGCTTAGGGCTTTAGCCTTTAGGCTTTAGCCTCTAGGGTTTAGAGTTTAGGGTTTATAAACGGTTTAAGGGTTTCAGGATTTCAGGGTCTCAGGGCTCAGGGTCTTAGGGTTCAAGGTTTTAGTTAACCCCTACGCCTAAACCCGAAACCCCTAAACCCTAAAGGTTTTCCGGTTGGGTTTCATCTCCCAAGCGTTTAGGCTTTTTGCGGTTTGAGGGGGGGGGGGGTTGTTCAGGGTACTTGGCCAGCTCTGTCTATGAAAACTTCTGTTAAGAGGTCTAATGGTCTTGGTAGCCCAGCGGTGCCCTTTTCCTTTTTTGTTCAAGGTTCCCTTATAAAATATTCCTATACCCTAAACCCTAAACCCTAATTAAACCCTAAACCCTAAACCCTAAAACCAAAAAAGGTTATTTACCTTCTTTCCAACAGGGTGTCTGGGTTACCAAGTAGAAGGCACTCTTAACTCAAACCCTAAACCGAACAGGCAGGGTCCGGCATGCCGGACAGTAGCTTGGGATCCCGAAACCCTAAACCCTAAACCCTAAACCCTAAACCCTAAACCTCAAACCCTGCAAGCCCAAGACCCTCAGCAGATTCCGCGCTAGGAGATGCTCCTTGCGCAGTGCAAGCTGCCCGGGTCGGCAGAGGCGGTGGTTAGGGGTTTAGGGTTTTGGGTTTAGGGTTTAGGGTGTAGGGTTTAGGGTTTCTGGTTTGTGTTTAGGGTGTAGGGTTTCATTTGGGTTACGTTCAAAGAAACCCACGAGGCGGAGTGCCCTACACCCCCTCCTGAACCCTAAACCCCGAAACCCCAAAACTCCCAAGCCACATCTCTTGCCTGAAGCCCCAAAGCTCCCAAGCCCAAAAACTCTCGTAGAATCCCTAAACCCTAAACCCTAAACCCTAAACCCTAAACCCTAAACCCTAAACCCTAAACCCTAAACCCTAAACCCTAAACCCTAAACCCTAAACCCTAAACGTACATTTTTTGAAGCCCCAAAACCTAAACCTTAAACCCAGAAACCCCAAACAAAGCGACACACGTGCGGTGGTGGCGGTTTGGGTGTTTAGGGGCTCAGAGGCTCATGTTCTTGTGGTCTCGGCTAAGTAGCAGTATGTCATGTCTGAAAATGATGGTCCATTTTTGGGTACTAGAAACCTCAAAAGGGAGCAAACTTGAGAGAAGTGACCGTGTAGGGTTCGGTGTTTAGGCGTTGGAGTTAGGGTTGGGGTTGTGGCAAATTGTGGGTCTTGGACGAAAACCCGTAACCTAGGACCCAGAGTAGGCCCTTATCCCAACTTAACAGAACAGAAAAAGAGCTCCGGTTAGGGCTTCATCTCATCCCAGCCCTAAAGTCCGATCCCTGAACCCTAAACCCTAAACTTAGCCCTAGCCCTAAACCCTAAACCCTAAACCCTAAACCCTAAACCCTAAACCCTACACCCTACGGAGAGCCACGAAAACCCTCACGCACACTGCGCCGGAAAAAGGGCGCCGTCGTCTTCGGCAACGGGGCAGCGCCAGTCTTTGGGGCGGGGCACTTCTTTCAGGCGCCGGGATGTAGCGATTGTGGGTGCTAGAGGGATTAATTTAGGGGTTTTGAAGGGTTTCCTTGGAAACCCGACAAAAAAAGCACCATGGGTTCCTCGAATCCCTTATAGAATTCTTAGGTAACCTACACAACACAATTTTGGGTTCTTCGTGGTAGAGGGTTCAAGGTTTTGGGAGGAGTATGTAGGATCGAGGCTTTGGGGTGTCGTTAAGCTCTCAGAAGCTCATACTGATAGGGTTCTCTGGTGTACGAACCACGCAAAGTTACAGGTTCCCATACCCTTGGGACCAACCGAACCCTAAAATTTGGGCCACAATACCCTGCATACTGCTGGAGTTCTTATTAAGGAAATATCGTGAACCCAAACCCTGCTAGGCACCCGCTGACGTTCTGTCCACCTCGGCGCCTCAGTCAGAGGTGGCCCTAAACCCCAAACCCCAAACCCCAAACCCCAAACCCTAAACCCCAAACCCCAAACCCTGAACCCTCTACCCTCTACCCTCTGAACCCTAAACCCCTCAAACCCTAAACCCCTAAACCCCTAAACCCCTAAACCCCTAAACCCCTAAACCCCCAAAGCCCTAAACCCTAAACCCCTAAGCCCCTAAACCCCCAAACCCCTAAACCCCTAAACCCCCAAACCCCTAAACCCCTAAACCCCCTAAGCCCCTAAACCCCCAAACCCCCAAAGCCCTAAACCCCTAAACCCCCAAAGCCCTAAACCCCTAAACCCCTAAGCCCCTAAACCCCCAAACCCCTAAACCCCTAAACCCCCAAAGCCCCTAAAAAAACAGGTCCGACTGGAGGCCCTGCGGCCCGGGGCTGCCGGCCCTGCCCTGGGTCTGAGCCTCGGCGGCGGCGAGGCGGTGCCCGCCGCTGGGAGGGAGGCGTACCAGGGTCTTCAGGGTCTTTGCTGGGGTTTAGGATTTAGGGCTTTTAGGGTTTTGAGGGCTTTAGGTCTTTCTAGGGTATTCAGGGTGTTTATAGGGTCTTTAGGGCCTTAGGGTCGATTTAGGGTCTTTAGGGTCTTTCTAGGGTATTTAGGGTGTTTAGGGTCTTTAGGGCCCTAGGGTCTATTTTAGGGTCTTTGGGGTCTTTTTGGGGTTAGGGGCTTTGTGGTTTCTGGTGTCTTTGGGCTGCTTTGTGGGTTTAGGGGCTTTGGGGTCTTGAGGGTCTTTCGGGCTTGTTCAGAGTCTGGAAAGCCCTGGAAGAAGGCGCCCCTATAATTTTGCACGCACGCCTGCACGCACACGCACCATAAATTAAGTTTTGCTGTGTGCCTTTGCCTTCAAGAGTTGGGAGTTCGGATTGCATGGCGAGACTTGCCCGGAGGTGCCACAGTCCTGCAGCATCGGCTACGATGGCAAAGCTTACGCTGCAGGCACGTACCCCCTACAATTCCGAAGACCCTGAGCATCCAGCTCTACCCGTACCCCAAGCACCTGAACAACTAGACGCGAAACCCCTGCGCTCCAACAGTAATTAGAAACTGAACTCTTAACAACCGTAAACTCGAAGCCCGTCCCTGAGCCCCACAAACCCGAAACCCTAAACCCCAAACGCTAAACCCTAAACCCTGAACCCTAAACCCCACACCCTAAACGCCAACCCAACAAGGCCGGACAGAGCCAATTCCCTTGGAGTGGTCGCCAAGCGCCCTCCAGAGTGGCGACACGATGGGGCGCCTCGGTGCACGTTTCACCCTAAACCCCAAGCCCTAAACCCTAGACCCTAAACCCTAACCCTAAACCCCAAGCCCTAAACCCTAAACCCTAAACCCTAAACCGCAGCAAGGGTTGTAGGGGTGAAGAGACAAGCTTGCACGGCTGACTCGGAGTTTCATTCGGGTGCATCTAAGTAGGGTTCTAAGCAGGGAAACTATGGTTACAACCCTTGGCTCCTCCATGGATGTTGTTGGGATCTGGTGCGTGATGGGGATTTGTTTTTAGAGCTGGGCTGTTGGCACTTCAAGTGTTCTGAGACATGATGACGGCGTGGAAGTCCAACAGCGACAACAGCTTCGAGCATGGCAAACCGGACGACTTAAATCCCAATGATCGTGGTCAGTTTTGACACGAGATGAGGAGGCGAGGGTCCAAAACAGACAGCTGGTACGAGGAGATGGGCGACCTTGCTGGCACTGGCACTTGTGAAGGGTTAACCTTTGGCTGGCACCGGCGAATGGGGTGGGGGGGGGGGGGGGGGGAAACCGCGTCTAAACCCTAAACCCTAAACCCTGAACCCTAAACACTAAACCCTAAACCCTAAACGTATGGGGGACCCCGCAGAATGATACTTCGTAGAGTTGATGGGCATTGTATAGGAGCCCAGGAACCAACTGTTTGTGACTCTTGCGTCCTTCTGAGACGAACATGCGGGTATTTCCCAAAATAGGGGTACCCCTTTTTCTACCGCAAATGGAATTGAATCCCCTTGAAGGGACCCCCCCCGAACAGGCACCCCTCCAAACCCTAAGCCCTAAGCCCTAAGCCCTAAACCCTAAACCCTAAACCCTAAACCCTAAACCCTAAACCCTATTTTCGGAAACCTTGACATGTGTTTCAGGGGGCTCAGGGAGTCAGCGCGCCGGAGGTTGCTGCGCAGATGCACACGGCTTGCTCGGAAGCTGGCTGCTCTTGCTGCTAGGGTTTAGGGTTGAGGGTTGAGGGTTGAGGGTTTAGGGTTTAGGGTTTAGGGTTTGGGGTTTAGGGTTTAGGCTCTATAGGGTTTAGGTTGGTTCAGCGTTGTTGCGGTGGGCGGGATTGTCTGTACTCATGGAAGCATTGCGCTGAGCACCATAGAGCAAAAGACGGTGGAAGGATTGCGGAAGAAGCGAGGAAGGATTGCGGAAGAACCGAGAAAAAAGCCGACGCCGTGAAACACCACGGAAGGCTTCGCTGAAGGGGGGCTACTCCAGACAAGCCCTTCGAGGAATAATTGCCCGCAAGTCGAGGGATCGTGATGCTATGGGCCGGCTGTTCGCGTAGCAAGCTTTACAATGAGCATGAAGCCCGAAGCTCGTCAGAGCTACTCGTAAGTTGGCCATGGCTTGCTGCCTCCGTGGGCCAAGTTTTCTGTCCCTCAGCAGCTGAGACACCCCGACCCGAAACCCCGAAACCCGAAACCCTAAACCCCTGACCCCAAACCCCAAACCCCATATATATGTATATATATAAATATAAATATAAATAAATAAGTAAATATAAATATATATATATATATATATGTAACCGCTCAGGTTGCTGGCGGCTCCCAATGGCCTCCTCTCGCTGTGCGTCAACGGCCGCTACGTGGTCCGTGATGTCGCAGGCCGGGCTTACAGGGGCTCTTCAGGGGGCTAAAAAGGGGTTTGGGGCGTTTAGGGTTTAGGGTTTAGGGTTTAGGGCGAAGAGGGTTTGGGGGTCTAGGGCTTGGGATCTAGAGCTTCTCTGTTAAGGGCTTCACGGCTTACAGGGTTTACTTCTAGCGGTTTGTTTACAGGGTTCGTGTTTCCGCTTTTCGGGCTGAGGGCTGAGGGCTTAGGATCTCTATAAGGTGTAGGGCTTCGGGGTGAGAGGGCTTAGGGTGTTAGGCTTTAAGGTTGGAGGCATCAGGCCTGTAGGGGTTGGGATTTTGGGTTATTTTAAGCCTAAGGGTTGGGGTGTTCAGATCTTGGGGTTTTGTATGGGTTGTGTTTTGGGCAGGCGCGGTTCATGTCTGCAAACCCAAGCCCGAAGTCTGCAAACCTAACCCTAAAGCCTAAAACTCAAGCATGGTATACCCTATAACTTCCGTCTTGAAAGCCCCGAGGCCTTACAAACCTCACAACCCTGAACCCGAAATCCTGAACCCAAACCCCAAACCCTAAATCCTGAACCCAAACCCCAAACGCCAACCCTAAACCCTAAATCCGAAGCCCTCACCCTAAACCCTAAACCCTAAACCCTAAACCCTAAACCCTAAACCCTAAACCCTAAACCCTAAACCCCAGGCAACCTTCCCAGCAGTCAAGCGCTGCTTCCCTTCGTGGACTTCGGGCAGCGCGGCACGGCGCCTCCCGTCAGCCACCTGCTTCCCACTCCCACCCTCCAGCCTAGGGTTTAGGGTTTAGGGTTTGGGGTTTGGGGTTTAGGGTTTTAGGGTCTTAGGGTTGTAGGGTTTGGGGTTTAGGGTTTAGGGTCACGGTTTAGGGTATTTGGGATTGAGGGCTTGAGGGTTTAGGAGTCTTAGGTTTGCGGGAAGAGGCGATGAGCACCCTTAGTAAGGCTGGGTTAATTCCAGAAGCCTTTTTCACATCCGGGTTATCTCTTAGAACCAAATGGTTTTAGTGGGCTCACCGGTTAACCCACGTTCGTGGTTTGGTACTTAACTCGAGAACCTTCTGGTCTTAAAGACACGTTCATGGTTTAGTAAGGGTTTGGGTCCCCCCAAACCCTAAACCCTAAACCCTAAACCCTAAACCCTAAACCCTAAACCCTAAACCCTAAACCCTAAACCCTAAACTCTGAACCCTAAACCCTAAACCCTAAACCCTAAACCCTAAACGAGGGTTTGGGGGGGGGGTGCAGCTAATGCTTCGCTGGCTGAGGATTTCTCTGGACTTGCACGCGGAGCCACCCGACCGGAGGCAAGACCCGAAACCCTAAACCCTAAACCCTAAACCCGAAACCCTAAACCCTAGACCCTAAACCCTAAACCCTAAACCCTAATGGATCAGCCACCCACGTGGCCCATGAGGCTTAGGGCTGAGGGATGTTTAGGGTGAAGGTCATGGAAGTACATTTGGGCTGCAGGGTGCAGCCTTAAGCTCCTTGAACCCCCCCTCCGCGTATCAAAGCACAAAACACGAAGCCCAAGCCCGTTTAGAACGATACCCTCAACTCCAGATGCGAGGCAAGACCTACAAACCCTAAACCCTAAACCCTAAACCCTAAACCCTAAACCCTAAAAAAATGCTTTTTGGCTTTCAGGCTGCCTCGGGAACCCTGACTCTCACCGCAGATTTGTTGGGAGGCTCTGCCCGAAGAATTGGGGGCTGGAACCTGCCAGTTTCTTGGGCTTCTTGTGCTGTAGCCTCATAGGCCCTAAGATCCCGAAGCCTAACTCCACTCCCCCTCCCCCCCCCCCCCCCCCCCCCCCCCCCCCCCCCCCCCCCCCCTCCCGCCCGCGCCCCAAAACAAAAGTCACACACGCACGCACAGACTCGCAATCACCCGCTGCAGAGAGAGGTTCAGCGGCTTCAGCAGCGCTCTCCTGACCCCCATCGTGAGCCTCAAGGGCCTGGTGGCGCGGCGCACAGGCCCTTGGGAAGCAGTCTAGGGTTTAGGGTTTCGGGTTTAGGGTTTAGGGTTTAGGGTTTGCAGAGCTTCTTTTTACTAGCTATCATGTCACTACCCTATAGGGTTCCAAGACCTCTTAGTTCAGGGTTTTTGGACAGGCCTCATTCTGTCAGGTTTGCTATTTTGAGCGTAAGGGCTGCCATGGGGTCTTTACATCAAGCAGCCTTCAAAGTTTGGACATATCGGGCTTGATGAGGCTAAGCCCCAAAACCTTACATCCTAACCCCCCTAAAACCCTAAAGCCTCAACTTTTGTCTTGACAGGCATACCAGGTTGAACACCTAAGCCCGAAACCCTAAACCCTAAACCCTAAACCCTAAACCCTAAACCCTAAACTGCCGAGAGCGCCGCGGTCCATATGCATGGGCGCTCGAGGCTGCGACCGAGGTCCCCGACCGAGCGTCTCCACAGAACGGTGAGGGAGGGTAAAGCCTCCCGGTAGACGAGACGGCAGTGACTGGCTACGCCTCAGACCTGGGGCGTCAGCCCTCAAGGGGGGTCTGGGGGTACCCCCCCCGTGGGGGTCTGGGGTCCCAGGCTGGCAGATTCCAGGGACCCCCCCCTTCTGGGCTGGTGTAGGGGGGCTCCTGCTCAAAAACCGCTTTTTTGCCTAGAGAGGCCCCTGCAAACCCCAGAAGCCCCTGGAAGGCCCCTGAGGCTGACAGGCTCTTGGAAGGCCGGCTGTGGGCCGCTTCAGGCCCCTGGAATTTCTGAAAGGCTGACAGGCTCTTGGCTGGCCTGTTGGGACCCCCCACACAGACTTGCGGACCTTTTGAGAACCTTGCTAGACCCCCTAAAACCCATGTGGAACGCTTTTCCTCCCTATCCTGGACAACAGGCTGGACCCCGACCCAGCGTTTTTGCTGGCCTAGGGCGCCCAGACCCGTAATGAATGTTGGGTTCTAGGATTGCAATCGATGGTTTTGGGCACCCCTCCATTTTACTCCGTGAAAGCTCCAAGAAGCCTACGAGCCACTGACAGGCTCCACAAAGCTCGGGAGGCCCCACCCTCTTTCTCTGTAACAAGCAAAAGCTAAAAAGCCCCGCTTGAGGGGGGTTTGGGGGGTGAACCCTAAACCCTAAATGAGAATAGTTTGGGTGGTTGGGGTGGGACTACATGCTAACGCAAGCGAGCGGCTCGGGTGCTTTTAGCACCAGCGAGCTTCCCTTCTACACACCCTAAAAACCCTAAAAACCCTAAACCCCCTACCCTAAACCCTAAACCCTAAACCCAAACCCCTAAACCCAAAACCCTAAACCCTAAACCCTAAACCCTAAACCCTAAACCCTAAACCCTAAACCCTAAACCCTAAACCCTAAACCCTAAACCCTAAACCCTAAACCCTAAACCCTAAACCCTAAACCCTAAACCCTACCCTACCCTATAAACCCTAAACCCTAAACCCTAAACCCTAAACCCTAAACCCTAAACCCTAAACCCTAAACCCTAAACCCTAAACCCTAAACCCTAAACCCTAAACCCTAAACCCTAAACCCTAAACCCTAACCTAACATAAACCCTAAACCCTGATGCCCCTACTGTGAGCTCGCATGCCTGCTGTATCTTAAAGTGTGGTAACACCCTCGAGCACAAAACAAATCGTGACATGGTAAGCAAAGCCCCGAGCCTGTTTTTACGTAGACCTCGTATAACCCATAAACCCCGACAAAGCCCTTCAAATTCCCCCTAAGATCATAAAATCCCTAGCAGACCTATACGGCCCTTAGAACCCTGCTTGGAGTCCGTGTGTGTGTGTGTGTGCTTAACGGTGGTTGTCGGCTGGGGCAACCCCAACTTACCCGAAAATGCTGTAATCATGTAATCCTTACTATAGAGAACCCCCCCCCCCCCCCCCCAACAAAAACAAGAAAGATACTCGCTATTTTGGAATCCCACCATATGGGGAGCGGGGAGAGGCGGAATGTACGTACAAGTCCCGACTGAGGAATACCCCTGAACCCTGGACCCTAGCCCCTAGACCCTAAACCCTACCCTTCAAGTGCAGGAGTTCATCCAAAAGGTGCCGGCTTAGGCGCCATGGGGTTCAGGGTTTGGGGATTGGGGCGCACTCGGGCTCAGGGCACAATACGGCTGACTTCGTTGCAGGGCTTGGGGTTTAGGGTTTAGGACTCAATGTTTAGTTGCTGTGTTGACAGAGATCCACGGCACAAACGTTGCGCGAATCGTCTACTTTTAGGTGCTGTCTTGGACGCTTTCGTAGATGGCCAGCAGGTTTCCAATGCAAGACCTTGCGAACTTTCACTTCATTACGCACTTTGATCTCAGGAACGCGCCAAAGAAGGGCGTGGCGAGTTTTCTGGCCTTTTTTGCAGAGACTTCCGAGACATTCCTTACAGTCTTTTTGCTAAATCAAAGAAGGTCCAAAGCAGGTTCATCACCTGTAGACACTAAACCCCAAACCCTACACCCTAAGCCCTATGCCCTATGCCCTAAGCCCTAAAGTTCGTCTAGGTTTAGAGTTTAGTTTTTCGGGTTTCGACCTGTACGCAAAGTGATGCATAATTCCCCAGGCAAGCACAAAACTTGTTCACTTCGCCCACATGTATGTTCTATTGCCCCACTGCAATCCTAAACCCTACAACGAAACCTAAAACTAGGCCCTGAACCCTAAACATGTAAGCCCTAAACCCTAAGCCCTAAACCCTAAACCCTAAACCCTAAACATGTAAGCCCTAAACCCCCTCTTGGGAGGCGCGGTGCTCTTCGGCGATGGACCTCTCCGTGCTAACGGCGGGGCCAAATACTTCGAAGTTTGCCTTTTGGCTTGATGAGTTGCTTGAAGGTTCGTTTGGGTACTTGTAAGTAGGGTAAAGAGTATGACTATGGTTAGCTATATATATATATATATATGTCCTAACTTCGGGTACTTATAGCCCTACTTCTAAGTGCCTATGAGCCAAGAAAGGGGCTTGGGTCTGATATTGGGGCTTAGGCTATTTAGGGTTTAGGGCTTGGGCTTGTAGGGCTCAAGGAATCTAAGCCCTATCGTCCACAACCCTAAACCCTGAACCCTGAGCCCTGAACCCGCCTGGCCTAGCAGCTGAGGCGTCGAGGATGTGACCTCGGCATTCGCAGATGGTTTGACAATTGGAGTTGCAGCGGCGCCCTGGGCGAACAATCATTAATTTGGTTTAGGGTTTAGGGTTGAGGGTTTAGGGTTTAGGGTTTGGGGTTTAGGGTTTAGGGCTTTTAGGGTTTAGGGTTTTTAGGGTTTAGGGTTTGGGGTTTAGGGTTTAGGGTTTAGAGTTGAAATGAAACAGTGAGTAAAAATCCGGAAAAAAATCACATTGCTGGGCTGAGTTTTCAGTGTTTATGTTACGAAATAGGGTTCACGCACACGCGCACACGAAAACACCGCTGCACATGCGCCTTTCGCAAGCGTACTTTGAACCCTACGGACACTTTGCAGGTTATAAATTTTTTATTGTGTAAGTACTAAGTCATAGCCCGATCATATAGTCTATTTACCAAGTGAAGCTGTCGGATGGGAAAGTGGATTCCTGGGCCCTACACTAAACCCTAGTGCCTGAAACCCTGAACCCTACACCCTAAACCCTGAACCCTGAACCCTAAACCCTAAACCCTATTCCTATACAGCCTGCACCTCAGAGCTGGACCCTACGGAACTGTTTTAGAGGCCCTTTTTGCATGGGGTTCAGGTATAGCCCTGACACCCTGTACGCCTTGAACACCCGTGTGAACCTTCTAGGACTGTTTGTTTAGGATTCAGAGGTTAGGGCTAGGACCCAGAGCAGGCCCTTGTTCCTGTTTTTAGGGTTTAGGGTTTAGGGTTTAGGGTTTAGGGAACCCTAAACCCTAAACCCTAAACCCTAAACCCTAAACCCTAAACCCTAAACCCTAAACCCTAAACCCTAAACCCTAAACCCTTGTTCCTGTTTTTAGGGTTTTAGGTTCCCTTACAAGACCCCTTGAAGAACCAAGAAGGGCACCCTTTTGATTCCCAGGTTACTCCTAGGCCTTAGAAACCCGGACAGGACCCCGCAAGCCACTAGAAAGTCGGTTGGGCCCTAAACCCTAAACCCTAAACCCTAAACCCTAAACCCTAAACCCTAAACCCTAAACCCTAAACCCTAAACCCTCGACCTCTTGGACCAGACCCCAGGAACTTCCAAAAGCCTTGCCGGCTGAGCCTTATGCCACCAGTGAGGAGGCCGGGGTTTAGGGTTTAGGGTTTAGGGTTGGGGTTTAATGTTTAGGGTTTAGGGTTAAGGGTTTAGGGTTTGGGGTTCAGTGTTTTAGGGTTCTGAGTACCCCAAGCAAGGTTATAACCACAGCTACCCTACTTCTAGTGCATACTTCTAAGTACCCCATTGAACCTCCAAGTAGGGTTTCGGGGGTTGTTGTAGGAGTTTGTGGTGGAAGGGTTTGGGGGGGCCTTAGGGCCTAGAGGGCGCAGAAGATTGGGCTTTCGGGATACGGGGGGTTTCCGAAAATAGGGGTACCCATTTTTGTGGGGGTCCCTTTACAGGGGATTCGCTTCTATGTGGGGTATAAAAGAAAATACCCATTGCCATATGCAATGTTTCGGCAGGTTGAAGTGGTTTGGGACGGACGGCCTAGAGTTTGGCTGAACGCTGCAAGGTTCAGTTTAGGGTTTTAGGGTTTCGGCGTAGGGTGGCTGCGGGCACGTCGCTGAAAATACGCTTCCAATGCCTGGGTTCTGAGCCACTCGAAGCCCTTCAGGGTGTGGCCCTCAACCCGAAACCCTAACCCCTAAACTCTAAACCCTAGAGGTTTCGTTGGGGAGACCTCAGTTTAGTACTGGGGACTTCGGGACTTGGGGTGCACATTTCATATTTCTTCTCTCAGGACCATCTCGCTTAGAAGTGGTCACTTCTCGGGAATATGGTTCCTTTTGTGTTCCCATTATGAGCATTATGAGGCGGTCCCTGTTATCTAGGTTTCCCAAAAAGGACCCATGACTTGGAGAACTGACCAAGTATTCTTTCCACACGCCTGAAATTCCTCCAAAAGTAGACCCCACCATCAACAAACACAACAAGATCACAAGGCACCATCGGGCTGAAAGTACCGCAACGACCTCATCCGGTATGGTTTTTGGGCTCAAACACCCTGAAAGACTTAGGAGTCCAACAGGCTTCGGTGAACTTTAAACTTTTTGGGTCTACTAAACCCCCTGCCAAAAGAGAAGCTTATAAACTTTTTTAAAGCCAGGGTATTGGGCAACTAGGAAGGAGAGTCCTTTTACCTTCTAAGGCGCCGACGCCTACCTGTTTTTTTTTGGCAGGTCATACCCAGCTCCAAGCTTCTTAGGCGGCCGAAAGCCAAGGTACTCTAGGGGTCGGAAGAATTACTAGTAGTATTCCCTTTAAGGGTCCCTTTATGTTCATACTATCAGAATCCCCCCCCCCCCCCCCAAAATCCTGTTCTTACAATTAAGGCCCCCAGAAAAAATAAGGTTCTGGGCTCCTAGATGAGTTTCGGGCTATCAGTAGGGCAACTGTGGGAATGACCGTATCCAGAGGGTTTTCAGGTTTCGGCCCTTATTCCCATTTTTTTTGGGGGCTTTAGGTTCCCTTATAAGCCCCTTTAAACCCGGGCAAGCCTTTAAGGGTCCCTTTATGTTCATACTACCATCATCCCCCCCAAAATCCTGTTCTTACAATTAAGGCCCCCAGAAAAAATAAGTTTCTGGGCTCCTAGATGAGTTTCGGGCTATCAGTAGGGCAACTGTGGGAATTACAGTATCCAGAGGGTTTCAGGGTTTCGGCCCTTATTCCCATTTTTTTGGGGGGGGCTTTAGGTTCCCTTATATATACCCTTTAAACCCGGGCAAGCCTTTAAGGGTCCCTTTATGTTCATACTACC